GTTGGGATGTCAGCTGTATAAACTGTGTAAAGGATAGGACCTAGGATACTACCTTGAGGAACACCTGCAGACTGGGAAAAACGGGATGTATATACATTGTTGTGATTTACTTTAAAGTATCTATCAGTAAGGTAGGAACGGATAATGAGGAAGTAGGTAGATGGTAGGAATTTTCGGAGTTTGTACAGCAGTCCCGGGTGCCAAACTCTATCAAACGCCTGTTCAACATCGAGAAAGGCTCCCGTACAGTACATACCGCGCTCCAATGCAGAGGATACTACGTCTACCACACGATGGCATTGCTGTATAGTGGAATGGGAGGAGCGGAATCCAAATTGGTGATCTGGGATTATGTGATTAGAATCTAGGATTGGGTACAGGCGTTTTAAGATTAGTTTTTCCAGGATTTTTCCCATGATGGGTAACAGAGAGATGGGACGGTAAGAGGATGGATATTCTGGTGGCTTTTTGGGTTTGTGGATCATTTTGACAATAGATATTTTCCAAGGATCAGGGAAATATGTTGATCGGAGTACAGCATTATATATGAAAGTAAGGAATAGGATGGCTTTTCGAGGAAGAAGTTTCAAGATCTGGGATGTTATTAGGTCATGTCCAGGAGCTTTGTAGGAGGGTAATCTTTGAATGATGTTGGATATTTCTGTGGGATGAAATGCTTTAGGTGGAAGGGGCATTTGGAGAGGAGTATCCAGTTCTGATTCAATACATTCGATGTGGGTTGGATTAAGGTTATCAGGATGTGAGTTGAAAATTTGGAAGAGATGTTGACCGAATAACTGGGCTTTTTCTTCGTCGGATTTGGACCAGGTTTGGGATTCAGTAAGAAGTGGGTGATTAAAATCTTTAAACTTCAGAAGTTTTTTGGTTGTAGTCCATAGTGATTTGTCAGTTGTTGTAATATTTTCAGTTAGGTTCAGTAATTGTTGAGTTTTATATTTTCTGATTTCTGATTTTAGTTTGTTAGTCAATTCGGTATAGTACGTTTTGTCTGAAGGATATCTAGTCCTGTGCCACTTCGATCTTGCTCTACGTTTATCTCTTAATAAGATTCGAATATGCTGTGGCAAGTTAATATGTCTTAAATTATTGCTTTTATTATTAACAAATGTGTTATTATTTATACTCGTTGTTATAGTTGTATTAAGGTTTTCTATGGCATTATCAATATGTTGTTTTGTCTTAAGGGGAATTTTTAAGTCCAGTTTATCTTCCAGATCATGACGAAATTTGTCCCAGTCCACTCGTCCTGTAATTATTTTAGGAGGTGTAGGTTTAGGAGCAAAGTTCGAATGTAGTAAAAGCAAAACTGGACTATGATCTGACGAAAGGTCATCCAGGGATTTGATAATGGATTGGGAGGAGGAAATCTGGGAGGTGATAAATATATCCAGGATATCGGGACGTTTTTTCAGAGATGTAGGCCAATATGTAGGATTCATGGGTGAGAGGATTGAATAACTGTTGGAAGAAGAGACACGTGGTAGGATGCTACCGCGGGAGTTGGATGTTCGACAACCCCATCGTTGGTGTTTAGCATTGTAGTCTCCTCCAGCAATAAAGCGCGCTCCGAGGGATTGAAATAAGGAATCAAGTAGGCTATAAGAGAGGGAATTACCAGGAGGACAGTATACAGTTGAAAGTGTTAGATGGAAAGGACGAGTTGAAAGGATTACAGAAGTTGATTGAATGGCATCAGTTGGAGTAGAAGGGATAAGGGAATGCGATAGAGATTTATGTATAAGGATGCAAGAGCCAGCGTGGGAAGTGTTGTCTGGATGGTCAGATCTATAAGTGATTTAGTCACGTATGTAGAATTGTGTCCGTTGAGTGAAGTGGGTTTCTGTCAGGAGAGCAATGTCAATATAATTGTCATTGAGAAATATGTCTAGTTAGTCACGGTGGTTTTGTAGTCCGTTAGCGTTCCATAAGAGGATAGCTAGGGGCTTTGTATTCATCGGAAGTTAAACGGGATTTCGGAAAGGAGTCTTGTGAGAAGAGTTATAAGCGGTTTGATACTCTGTTGAAGATCTATCAGGAATGATGATAGGATAGAGTTGATGTCGGATGATGTTTGGCAGGGAAGTGGATTTAGGTCATGAGGTTGTGGTGAGTAATCTATGCGAATAGGATTGCTGGGTGGAAGGTGGGTCCGACGTGGGGTACGAGGAGTAGGATCTAAATTCTGTTGGACTTGTGATGGGAGGTTCATCTTGGGAGTAGGAACGAGTGGAGCTGGGTGTGGGTGCTCTGGCGGGAGTTTGACCCTTAAGGGTAGCTGATGGGGAAGGATTGGCTGACGAGGCTGTTGAGGTTGAGTATTAGAGGTTTTGGGCTTGGATTGGGAGGTTTGAGGCGCCTGACTTTGAGGCTGCTTCTTAATGATGCAAGGCTGCCATTGAGAATTTCTTGAATTCTGTTGAGGATAATCCTTAAGTGTAGAGATGGATGGTTGTTGTTGGACGGCGATGGAAGGTGAAGTCGGCAAAGCTGGGAATGTTTCCTGATTTTCAATTTCAGGTGGCTCAGGACAAGTTTTTTGAGCAGGTCCAAGGGTTTTCGTCGCTAAGTTGCGTGATCTATGTTTGTGAAGATTTTTATACACCTCACAACCTCTATAGCTTGCAGGGTGGGCTTCACCACAAAGAGCACATGTAGCGGGCTCATCTTTTGGCCTCTGGCAAGTGTCTGAAGCGTGAAAACCGGCGCATATAACATATCTGGCCTCGTGATGGCAATATGTCTTCGTATACCCTAAGTTTTGACACTTAGTGCATTGTACTATTAGGGGCTTCTGCCTTGGTTCTTCAAATCGTACTGTCGAGTATACTAAACGTTGAACCTGAAATATTTCATTATTCGTTTTTGCTGGTTCCAAATCTATAAAGAATAATGGAAGCGGATATCTTTCCCTAGGATGTAGTACGGGTGCTATATGCCTGACGTTATGACCGATTTCTTCCAGGCCTGTTTTGATGACAGATATAGGAGTGGTTGGATGTAGACCTCTCAGGACTACTCGATACGCCTTGTTCTGTTTCAATTGGTAACAATGGAAGTCGTAGTTTTTGGAAGTTAAATGGCTAATCAATTTTTTATAGTTTTCTTTAGAGTTCGTGTTTATTTCAATGTCATTGATTCGAGAGAAGCAGCGAAAATTTGGCTGTCCGATTAGTTTTGCAATTTCTTGACCAAACGACACGAAGTTCTCAATTTTTGAAACCACTGTTTATATAGTCACTGTTGATATAGTCTTACACCAGAATTTTAAATAATAACCACATTACATAGTAACAAATACAGAGCGACGTGAATCTTCAACTGCACTTGCGGCCATGACACTACGAAATATACTAAAAATAATTCTTAACTAATTGTTTAGAATAATTTTAACAGCTTGGTATTTATTCCTAAACAGTTCATCACTGTTGTTTGTAGCTCCACACTTGCACGATTTGTTAACATTTTAGCGTTTAATACAACAGAAAAGTAGGCGCTTATAATGGATCCCATGATCAGGTTTGAAACCAACGATCAGGACCAAGGCTTCAAGGTGCAGGCAGAGAATGAAAAGATTTATAAGAAATGTATACCGCATTTATAAGAAAAATATAGTGATGGATTCGGAGGGAGAAACTTCTCAGTTAAAGGGCTATGGTTCAGAAGTAGGGAAACCATCCCTCATTCTAGAAGTGATTTCTTGCTGAAGCTCGGAGTTGATAAGGAGCTGATGGAGATAATGGCAGAGACTACTATTTTGGACTCGGTGATCCTCCATCACCACATATCCTAAAAGCTTTGCCTTTGCTTGTTCGTTTCTGTACACTGGTATTTTGACATATTTGCTTCCGTCAAATGGTCCCTACAGCTGACATCCCAATCTCTCTTAACACTGTCACTACCATGTATGTCAATGGCATATGCTTATTGCCTGTTAATAATGACTCATTAATTACACCCCAATCTCTTCAATAACATATGAAAAATGTCATCAAAACTGGAGAATTAAAATAAATTCGAAAGAATTCCATTAAATCACATTTACCATTTGTCGTTAACCTTCTATCCTACATTGTCTTTTAGTAATACTTCATTTTTCTCTGAACAAACCCCTAAGTTGGTCACCATCTGGACAAACGTCTTATTCGGAATCCTCATATAAGACTGAAACGAAAAGATGTCGCTCGAAGTATCCGACTGCTTCAACTCTTACTAGACAAACATTTCAGGCTTCCAATTAAATACAAAAAAACTCACTTACATTACTATAATCATGCCTTTTTGGACTTATGGGGTTGAGCTTTGGGCCTCCACCAAACCATCGAATTCCTCTTCATAACAATCCTTTCATAACAATCCAAAATACTTTGTAAGTCCTTAATGAATCCTGAATGTAACCCCATTCAGATAGTTATACTCTCATCATGAAATTCTAAACTCATCCAAACTCACTTGTTTGTAACTTCTCTTCACTTCTTTCTTCCTACAAACTCCTTCCTCTTTTGCGTCTGAAAAGAAGATGGGCTAGGGATCTTCTAATTTCGAACTGTTATGGAAGTGCCACCAATGGGTAGTTTTTTATGCCGTTATCCGTCTACTGTTCACATTTAATTGTTGTATTTTTATTTGAATAAAGTTGTAATATGAAATACACATTAAAAAAAAAAAAACCAATTCACGGTTTTCATTTTTTTTTAAACACATTAATTTTTGCCCACTTCAATTTTATTAATGTTTTTTATTTATTTATATATGTGTTTTATTCTTATAGGGCATAGTCCCAAAATAAAGTGCTTTTTTTATATACAATTCTAATCAAATGGAGAAGGAATGAACAAACTTAAGGGAAAAAATGTTAAAGCTTGTTGGCTAATAGCCCAGCCATATGACTGCCTATTATGAACTGTTGCTTATATTAAAACTTTTCTATTGTACTATGTATTTTATATTACAAGAACTACGTCACAATTTGGATTTAATCTATTTTTTTAGGTGATAATAGAACAAGGTGATTTTGAAGAAAGGGAAAACAGTCAAACAACGAATTAGCTTATATATTTAGCTAAAATACATTCACAATAAATATAATGTTACAACATTAAGATTAGCAACTTGGATTTTGCCCAATTCTACATATTTACTGAAGGCAAAAAACAAAACATAAAAGCAATAAGAAATAAAATAGATATGCCAATGTTTTACCTGATTATTTGTAGGTATTTCCATTAGTATATCAATAGCTAATCTTACACAAAATATAATATATCTGTAGTTAATACATTTTATAGTTATAATAATTTTTATTATTTTTCAATTCAGGTACTAAACATTGTTAAAAATAAATGAACTAGTTCAAATTTAAAAAATATAATTATGAAATTTGAACTCTTTTATTTATTTTTAAATTATTTCAGTTTCTACTGCTTTAAAAATATTTGATAATTCATCAACTAAGGTTTCATGTCTGAATGCAACTCTTATATCAGGTACATTCGTGCGAGTGATATCATTACCAGCAACTCCTTCTTTGGTGTAGTTCGGGCCCAGCCAATATTGTTTGCTCTGAAAATATATCAATAAAAATATAAGATTTTATTTATCTAGTTGTGATTAAAACTAAGGGGTTTAAACTAAAATATTTATATAGGTGAAAATGGTTTGACCAATGGTAATCTTATTTCTATCTTGTGCTCAATTTAGTCCCTAGCAGAAATGATTATTGTTACATTGTAGTAAATCACATTTTATTTAATTTTAAAATAACATCCTCCACTGGATATATCGAGTAACAAATTATAAAAAAAAAAGTAAAGAGTCATTTTTATAGAAATTTTAAAGTACTTTAATATTGTACAAAACAATTGTTCCGAAAAACCTCATAGTTTTTGAGATATTCTTAAAAAAATAGAACAACATCAGTTTTGTGTCCTTTTCCTCCCCCCCCCCCCCCCACCAAAACCTGAAGCGGGATTCTTTGGAACTTTTTAACAGTTCCAGGGTAATAAACAATTTCTGACAAGTTTTATCTTTATTTTTTTAATGATGGATCAATCCCTAATTTTACTGAACTAATATAGCGGACCCAGCCTATGCAGTGAAGCCAGGAGGTAAGCAGGGAGATGCCCTCTTTCCACTCTTATTCGATATTTTCCTCAAAGTAATAGAGAAAAAAGCTGACTTAAACAGTCTGGCATTTTCAATGAGATGGTACAGCTGCTTAGGCATGCTAGTGATATGGCCTTATAGGACATCTATCAAGGCTATAAAGAAAGCATGAGAAAGGTGTGCGAGAGAAGCTATAAAAAATAAAAATCTATAAAAAAAAAGGATTTGCATAAATGAAGAAAAAAGAAAAATTATGGTGTTAGAAAAACAAGAGCTCTAAACCCATCTATCCTGAATATTACTTATTGGGAAAGTTCACGTTTCAATAAAAGAATATGGAACACATGCTGTCTGAGAAGATACACGGAGACCTACAACCAATACGATGATTCCAGAGTTTCTCATTTCATGCCTGCTCATCCCATTAAGTGGCTTAGTTACATGATTAGGATGGATGATGGGCGAGCAGCCAACGAAACCCAGTAAGAGTAAGACCTATTAGTCTGAGGGCCAGATCCCCCTAACGTGCACTATTCCCCCACATCCCTATAAATTTCATATCGTTGTGTTCATTGTAACTAATGATTAGAAAAAAGCAAAGGTTCTCACAAAAAAAAAGTGAGCGAACTGCTCCAAAATGGCGTCAAAACATGGCCGACTGACGACTTTGACATTAGTTAGTTTTTTGGTCACTGAGATTCAGCATTTGGCTTAATTTCTTCATAGTTGGTCTTTTATTAAAGCTGGATAGTCATAAAATAAGAAATAATAATGTACTAAGAAAATATTAATTTACCTTATGTGGAAAACCACTCATTAAAACACTGTTTCTTGCCAACTCAGACATATCACACGAGCTCAGTTTCCAAACTTGTGCAGCAATGCTGTATTCCTCCATTAAAGGTTCCTAATTAGTAAATGAAGATATTAATTGTTGTTGTCAAAAGTACAATCTTTAATCTACTCTCTCCTAATGATAGCATCAATAATGTTAATTTATGTTGAAAGAAGTAAATGTTACCTTACTAAAAAAAATTTAAAACTGTATTAGTCCTGATACAGACTCGTATACATCGTAAATAAACTTCATGCTATCGTAATCTATAACTTTTATATCTACAAAGATTCTCAGATATGGGATGTATAAGCACTAAAAACTCATGAATACCCATTTGCCTTCCTCTTGATTTATAAGATAATTTGATCACTAAATCAAAAAAAAAGGTGGCGTACAAAAATATTGGACCAGTTGGCCCTCGTTATTTTGATATGTTGGAGTGGAGGTCTCGCAAAACGGCCCAATATTGTAGGCCATCCTTTTCCTTGATTTTGTGATCAAATTATCTTACGATTCAAGTAGACATTTCTCATTAAATAGACCAATTGTACCGATATCCAGATTGAATATGCTCCATTGCCGAGAATTTTCGTAAATAATAAAGATGTAGATTACGATAAGATGAAGCCATTCACGAAGTTTTAGACGGATGCTTATAATTTGATAAAAAGGGATTTTGTAGCGGACTGTACGAGTATGTAGGTGTTAGGCCTATTATTTAGAATCATTCTGTTTATTTGCATACTTTATTGCAACAAAAAGTATTTTTTTTCTACTAAAGGATTGAATACAAGAGGCAGGAGTGCCCAGAAGGGGGTTGGATGGCGCAAATTGCGCCATCGAAATTGTTGAGGGGTGCAAATTTCGACGGGGTTATGAATTTCCGGACAAAGGGACAAGGGGAAAACATTTTTATATAAATTGCAATTATTGTGTAATTGCATGTGATCTACGATTTTTCTGATTCTACCTTAGCTTCCTTTGTTTTTAAGAAAAGGTGAATAATAAAATATCTTTGGGAGAAGGAGGGGGAGGGGGTAGGTTCTTGGGCCATCGACCTAGGGGGATGGGTCATCGCTGACAAGAGGAATTGAATGGTTTAGTGGAGCTCAATTCCGTAAGTCCAAATAGGCCTTATCACGTATGGTCATTTATATGAGTATTTTGTAATTTAATGGAAGCTTAGAGCGTTTTTCTAGAACATGTTGAAGTAGTTGGAAACGTCGAGTGGTTTCTTGTCGTATCAGTCTGGTGTACTGTTGGACAGGAAGTCATAGATTTAAGAAAAAGGGATAAATTTCTTGGAATTTAATTTATTCCTCCGGTTTTGACAGCATTCTTCAAGGTTTGTGATATGCGGCTAAAGAGTTTGGGATGCAATTTATGGGTTGTTCTTAACTGATAGGACACATGTGTCCTTGATGTACCTATGTTTAGTTAACAGGTTAGACATTTACAGAAAGTTTTTCATGAAAATATTAATTCAAATTTTAGAGACCTGAAAAAATTATGAATGTTCAAAACTAGCCTAAAGTCTTTTGTTTGTAATATATATCGACTGCTCAAAATATTTGTTTGCTGCATATATTATATTTACCTTTGTAAAATGAAATTGAAGCGGATCATCAGTACTTAAAGAAATACAAAGTCCTCTCGCCAAATACTCTGGGAGTGGATTTCTATGGTAGTTAAGGAACAGTGAATTATTACTCAGCGGAGACATTGCTATACCAATTTGTGCAAGGTAGTACAAATATTGTAAAACTGGAACCTGTAAAAATAAAATTTCAATATATTGCAATTCATGAAATACAAATTCATGCTTCTATTTGAGTATCATTACAACCTTTCTTAGAAGAAGACCATGAGATATATTTTCGGCCATCATGTATCCGCACACTAAATGCTGAACAGGACCAGCTTCGCCACAATGTGGTCTCAAAACAAATGTGTTGAGGCCTTTTTCCCTTCAAATACACAATAAATTAGCTTTCTCACCTCATCGTGCAAACCATTATTATAGAAGTATTGAATATTAATATTAAAAGAGCGGTTTAAAAATGAGAGAGAAAATAAAATTAATTTGCACCAGTTTTCAGCACCTCTTCCCATTTTTCAAAATTCTAAAGTACCATTTTCTGGTAACCTTCTGAATGAAAGAACTTCAATAACATTATGCAGAAATGTCAATATTCCATCTTATTATTTATGTCCACACCATGTCCAATTATGTCAAATATTCTGCTTTATAAATAACTATACATATTGTATTTTTATAGTTGTATTATTTTCTTAGGAAGTAATAATTCATTTTGGATAATTAGGTATATAGAAAGTTATTTGGTATTACATATTTTTTTCAAGCTATATAGTTGTTTCATCTTTTACACTATCTAAAAATTAAAATAGAATACCAATATTTTTTTTATAAATAGAATCATCATCTTACCAGAATCAATTAGCCGTTTGCTTTTTTTTTTTTTTTAACATTAACAAAAGAGAGCTTACAGAAATGATTGGAGTCAACTACATTGGATTCCGGTGCGACTATAAAAATAATCAATATATTTGTATGTTTTTCCGAGTTCGCCGATATTAGGACTCTCAGCTAACTATTAATGAATTTATTGAAATACTTGTTCAAACTCATGTATGGATTATTTATTCTGTTGAAAGTTAGTAGATTTCAAAGAGACTGTTTGACTTATTAAAATAATTTTGCTTAAGTTGTAAAGAAATCTTGTAAATAATTAGGATACATTACTGAGTATTTATTTATGGTTAATAAGTATTTATTGATAGTATAGTATTTAATTACTTTTTCTCTAACCTACATATGAAATATAGAGCAATGGAAAGTATTGCGATCGTACAAATTTTTGAACCCGAGTTTTCAACGAAAATACACGTTTTGAGATCCCCTGTGTTTAAATAACCAAGTTTTGCAAAATGGTCTGCATGTGTGCAGGAACAGTATTTAGTATTGATTGATTATTTATATATATATATATATATTATATATATATATATATATATATATATATATATATATATATATATATATATATATATATATATATATATATATATAAGTTATGGTTAGATGTAAGTTGTTATATCAATTAATCCTATTCAACAATTGTAAACAAACCGTAATGCTATATATATAGCATTACGGAGAGAATAAAGGCAGTCTTATTTGAGCAACCACGTGTTACATTCCGAACCTTTCTTTCTTTTTTTTATTGTTCTTAGTTCGAACTGCCGTAAGTTTTATATATATATATATATATATATATATATATATATATATATATATATATATATAATATCTAATTCATAAAGAAAAAATATTCTTTTAATCAGTTGTACTTACCTTCGGAAATGGTTGAGCACTGTTAGATTTGCATACATGTAATATTGATAGTAGGCATATGGAGGATTTTCCTCGTCATTCCATTCTCCAGGAGTTGACACATCTTTATCAAACAGAGGATTCTCTGGTTTACTTTCATCATCTACTGAGTCAAATCCTATCACCTACGAAAAATTCATGTTAAGAGCCCATCACGTGTGAATATTATCATTAAAATTTAATGATATTACCTAGTTAGCATGATGTTTTATTATTTCGGATACATTATCTATACCTTTTTCGTTTCTCCTATCATCCTCGAATATCATAAATAAAATCTTATAGATCACTCAGAAATCCTTAGTATTTTTTATTTTAATCAACCTCAAAACTAGGTAACTATAATGTTTTTTTGTTCAGTACAGGATAACATGACAAGGTTTTTATGATAAAGGAAGACAGAACCTGTGGGCTAATTTTTTTGTCAAACATTAAACATAATTACGATTTTCATTTCTAGCTCGTAGGTTCTGAGAGAAGAATAGTTCTTACCAATCTTAGGTTTAAAAAACCAACATAAATAAAACAAATCAAAAGACAGCCTTTTAAAAGTATTTTATTTGAAGGATTGCTTGGAAAAAAGAACAAGATGTAAATGAAGTAATAAGATATAATTTAAATAATTATATTTTTATTATTCTTTACTAAATAACGAAGGAATGATATAATATGGACCAGGCAGTTTATGGATGGGTATCCAAGAGATCAAGTGAGGAAGAGAGAATGCTCACCGACAGACTGGGATAAGGTGATGAAGAAGACATGTGGTGGAGCAGCCTGGAAGAGAGTAGCATTGGAGAGGAAGGAGTGGAAACGGATGGGACAGGTCCATTACCCAGTGTGGTTTCAAGAAAAAAAAGCAGAAAAAATAAAGAAAATCAAACTCAAAACCGCAACTAAAATGTTGATTTTGTATTTATCTATTTTTTATCCATGGTTTTGCATTGTATGTACAAATAAAGGTTATTATTATTATAAATAACGAAGGATGTCATAAAGGAACCATGACATGAGAAGTATTTCATACAAATACAAGATGCTTTTGATTCATCGTCGCATGAAAAAATTGCATGAATCGTTTGTTTTATAAAAAAAAAAATTGATAACTGAATAAAAGTAAAATCCCAATACTCTTTACAATTATGTTTCTTTAAAAATTACTTTAAAGTGTTCCTAGAAAATTCGTAGATATCATGTCCAATAAGTGTTACTTACTTTCACCGAGTTTTAAGAGATTGACACTGGACAATGCAACTACTTTTCGTCTTTCCATAAAAGACGAAAAGTAGACATATTTGAAAGCTGGAGTATTTTAAAGCCCTAAGTAATAGATATTGAGTTCATGAGCGCTGTGGTACGAAGTTGGTGGTCGGGCTCAGCCGTTAGGCTTCAGGGGTAACCAAGTGGCGCCGAGAAGACTGTAAAGACTGAGACTGTATAAATTATATTGTGTGATGGACTACGGAGGAATACATCCATAAGTGTCTTAAAAAGTTGATAATCCTGCGAAAATGACGGGGGAAGCCTCAATGAACTGGAGAATATTGTGAAATCATGTTAACATTGAAGAATCGCGCGTTGAAAGCCAAGAAATAAAAAGTAATGTCCTGCGGATCAGGATTTAATGTTGAGGGGGGGGGGGAGGCTTCATCCCAAAAGCTTTTTTTTTCATAAAATTACTTTGGATAATTACTTTGGAAAAAAAGAAAGAATCGAACTACCTATATGAAATGGTGTTTAAGTGATTCCTAAAGTCCTTTTAAATGTAATTAAACGAACAATAATACTGTTTTAGATAATTTTCTAATATTTTTTCCATAAAACATGGTTATATTTTACCATTTGGGAGAAGGGGCTTCAGCCCCAAAGCACCCTCCGTAGATCCGCCCGTGGGTGGAGGCATACTTAGAAGACAATAGACAAATTCTTACAAGAAATTCAGAAGAGAGTGGGCTCTTTAATAATGTGTCCATTAAAGGATATAATAGTCGACTTGAGGAAATGAGATTTCTCTGCCCGATTCGAGTATTGACACGTAATAAAAATTTAAATGACATATAGGTTTTAACACATTGATCGAACCTGATGAATACCTAAATTAAGTAGGATTAAAAGAATCGATTGGATCAAGAAAGTTAACCATTATCCTGAAGAGTTGAAATTTATTTTAGTGGGAATGTTAATTTTAGAATCAGTAATAAAGAATTATATTCCTACTTTAGGATCACATATAATAATTTTTAAGAGCCTTAATACCAAAGTGAAAACTTCGTTTGCCGGTCTAGTGCACTAGCCTGGAACCAAACAAATCCTTGTCAATTCCCTTAAAATACAGCAAGAGAAAAATCGTTATGATTCGGCTATATACCGGCCATGGCAATGTTCTTGCACGTATTATTTTCAGAAAATAGGTAAATCTTGAACATTCAACCTTCTTAAACATAGACACATCAACGATATTTGACAATCAACGTTAATTTTGGTCGTGGGTCAACTGCTGGTACCTGAACGAAACATGTCAAATATCATTAAATATAAGAGAGGTATTCATGCAACTGGTGGAAAATGCTTAATGTGTTATAGTGCTAAACAGTTAGCATAAAGAGAACTTGAGTGAATCTGCTAGCAGATGGTAACCTGCTAAGTGCCTGTTGCTGTTGTAAGTTGAAACTTCCATTTGCGATAACTTAGCTTACTTGTCGATTTCATTTTTTAAGGGATAATCTTTTGTTTATTTTAGTACAGTTTATAGCTCAAAAAGTTGCACTCCTATTTCGTTGTCTTTTCTTTCCTTTATTTAATTTCCATTATAAAAAAGAAATAATCAAAATATGAGGACCTCGTAATAAACTTACTGATTACTAAATTTCCGGTATCTTGGCTTTCTCTAAGACCGAATACTGACATGGAACCCACATACTAAACTCAAAAGACAAGAACTCAACCGACGATATGGCCAGCTATATAGACTACTGAACAGAAAATCTCAACTTTCAACTGACAACAGACTACTGATCTACAATACAATACTGAAACCTATTTGGACCTACGGATTGGAACTGTGGGGGACAGCAAAATTTTCTAACATCAGTCCAAATTTCTTCGAACAATAGTTGATGCTTCGTTCTATGTAAGGATTTTTTTCTAACCAACCAAACCCCACACCATGACCTTAATATCCCATTTTTCCTACACCTTATCCCTCAAAAAATTTCCAAATTCCTTCAAAACCTTACATATCATCCAAATCCAAAGTCACAATCCCTCTCTAGCTCTACTCATCCCTACAATCCTCCTCAAAGGTTGAAGCGGCAGTGGCCCAGAGACCTGTTGTAAGAATATATTAGAGTTCTGGTAATGGCCAGATTCTCCACTCAAGCCATTTATGTCTGGTTATAGTGTCTCTGCTCATCCTCCATTGGTAATACCAGTGAAACAAGCTGGGATCCCTGGTAGGACGAGATCTCCTAGAGTCCTAGAAAATCCATCAGTGAGGGTAAAGGCTCGGAGACCTTGAGTAAATGAATATTGAAAATATTGTGCATGGTATGAATGAGCTACTCTTTATCACTAATACAATTGTCCTTAAATGTGACAGATTGTAATATACCTCAATAAAGACATTTCATAAAATAAAAAAAAAAAAAATACTAAATTACCACCAGTTTTAACAGATCTCTTTAAAAAACTGGTGTAGGTGTAAATAAAATTATAAAAATTGTAGTTTGCTTTTTTTCCTATGTTTCGTAGTTCGAAAAATCTCTTGAATCGAAATCTAACAAAAATATGGCTCTCTCAAAAAAATTTATTATCCTGTAAGTGTATTCTCACTATCCTACACACAAATAGTTACACATATTTATATGTTACAGAAGTTGTTTTCGGTGATATCAAGTTTTTGTAATCCTAAATTTTTAAAAATTACAATTTATCAAAGATTGAATCGTAAACTTACATATTGCAGGAATCTGTGTAACTCTGGGTGGGTACTGGTGTCATTAGTCACTTCAAATAGGGGTAGAAAAACGTTATTTAAAAACTCCTGGAACGTTGACATGATGTTGTTCAATTTAAAAATATCACTGAAACGTAAAATTCAAGTAATAAATATAATAATAATATATTTTAAAAAAAACGAAAAATAAAAAAGATACTAACAATAAACGTGGAATCTGAATAATCCATCGCACATTATCACTATACACATTATAATTTATAGCCCAGGCGGCTAACTTGTCCCATTCATCACTATTTTTTCCGTAGATAGACAAACGCAATTCGGCATTTTGGTATTTGCTTTCTTCTAAATCGGAAGACACCTCCTATAAAATTAAAACATACATTGGTTTATTTTTAATACACATTGTCATGTCTGCTACCTGTCACGTCATTGCCTGAACTGAAATTCTTACCTTTATAATGCCAGCGAAATACTTTCCATTCAAATAATTATCTGTTTTTAAAAACACTTCACGCAGTCTACTCTCTCCAATAGGATTATATTTGGCATTAAATTTGTCAAATCTGTGAAACGTGTTTCGGTCCTAAAAAATTGTTAATAGAATAAAAGCAAGCGGCTAAGATTATTTTTATTATGATAGATGGTCCCAAAGAGCATAAATTAAATAATTTAAGAATCTTGTTAACGCATCGCACACCCAGAATGATAATGACAAAAGACAAAAAAATTAATTTTTGAGTTAGTAGCAATTCAGGACTGTCGGAATAAAGTTTAACAAAGTAGCTTTTACAGGATTATCGCTAGCGGTTGTAGCTTTAAGTTTAATTTTTTTCAGCCTAGTTGGTGCGTACAAAAATTGAAATGAAACTGGCAAGCATAACTCAAAAAGTGATACTGTAATGCCAATGTGCAATTAAAAGTTTTCAATAGTTTTGATCATTAAAAAAAGTTTTAAAACAGGCCAACCAGAAAAATTCGGAAATCATTAAAAACGATCCTAGTCTCTCTCTCAAAAAAAAAAAAAAAATTACAAAAAATCTTGGCAGTCCCGAAGAACAAAAATGAAATTCAGCAGGTAACCGTTCTTTTAATGAAAAGTCAAAGCAAATTTTTTTAATTTACCTAAGTTAATATCGTTGCAGTTTTGCAACTTGAACAATAACCTGAGATTTTTATTTTTCTATTATTACTATTTTTTTCTTATTTCTTTTTTTTTTATCTTCTTTTTTTTGTGCTAATTTATTAATATATTTTTTATTATTACTATTTTCGTCGGCAAAAATACATGTAGAACAGTCGACTACCTTCCTTCCATATTACTATTTCATGTTTGTTTTATAAATTATTTCATTAATTTGTGATTAAAAACGTTGTGATATTTAAAAATAAAGATTAGGGAGTAATTAAATAATGAAAAGGATGAATTCAATAATACATTTTATAGAAAGAGCATTGCAATAAAATGCTTTACCATTAATTATATGAAATATGTCATATGCTTCTGAACTTATTTATTTATTCATTCCTAATATCCCTTTTACAAATTTCATTCTTTAAAAAGAAGGAAAAAGAAAGAAGTAACAAAGGTCGAAAAAAATAAGCAGTACTAACAGAATTGTAAAATGGTACAAATCTAAATATTAATATATATATATATATATATATATATATATATATATATATATATATATATATATATATAATTTATTTATTTATTAAAACTAGGGTTGGTCAGTGCAAAGCTGTAGTTACTAGTACTCAAAAATAATTGGTAAAATCTTTTGGAGGTTACGCAAATTAATATGTTGAAGAAAGTGTTAACTTTAATAAGGTTCGCTAAACAGCAGTTTTTGAGTTGTCCTCCTTTCATTTTAGATGTGCGATGTGATGAAATGATGATTGGTTTTTTAAATTATATATTTAATACTTACAGCTGAATTTTGTAAATATTGTATAAAATCATGTATGTATCTAAGTTGTTATTTTGGTTGGTTCAGTTTCTTTTGTTATCTCATATATATATATATATATAAAGATATCTCATATATCTCTCATATATATATATATATATATATATATATATATAGTTGTGTAGTTATGTATATATAAATATGTAATTTCTCTTCTTTTTCTTTTTTTTTTTTTCCATCACAATTAAGTAATTTTGAGAAGATTTTATGTTCATTTGTATATATATTTTATTTTTTACTGGTTATATACTTTTTAAATAATGTATATAATATTAAAATTTTTATAAGTTAGTTTTTGGCCAGATTTGTACTTTACTTTGTATTAACTCATCATTGTTATTCTAAAGGGACTTAGTCCCAGAATAAAGTTTAATTTTCTATTCTATTCCATTCTCTCTCTCTCTCTCTCTCTCTCTCTCTCTCTTTATATATATATATATATATATACATTTACTTTTAGTATTATTATTTTTTTGTTACATTTATTTTTATTTATTGTACGTAGAGTGTTAATGAGCAACTCTATCACTATCACTAGTGTCCTTGGATGTGGATGAATGTAATCCTTCTCAATAAAGACTTTTCCACAAAAAAAAAAAAAAAAAAAAAACTTACAGCATGGACGTCTAACATATCTACAGTCAGATCATAGGATGTCAAATTCATTGACTTGAATACTTCCTGCAATGTCATTGGCCCTTCCCTAGAGACAGTTACCACCTCGTCCTTGTTTGTTTTCAGCGTTTTTTTAATGAATCTTAACAAGTGCTTTTGGTTCATGCACGATGCTGCATGAATATGTGTGTCAACCTTAAAATATAAAAAATAAAAAAAAAAAATAAAGTAACTATTGTCGCTCCATGAAAATAAATAGGTCAGGCAAATATAACCTTGCGAATATTATAGAAATCTCTATGAGGGACTGCTTTTTGGGATGCTAGTTCTGTTAACTCGTTAAGGAGTACATGAAGTTGAAACTTAGATGAAAGATAACTCAGTCGACGGTAACAAAAAGATTTTCTGAAAAACATAACAAACAAAATAATACTAATAAAATTAAGATTTTATGGATTACTATGTATAGAAACTTGTTTTTTTGTTTTTTTTTATACCTATGAAAAACAGCTGGTTTGAATAACAGGGAAATATAGATACTAATTGCAAAGAACAGATTGAAGTTATAGGACAAGCCTAGATTTTTAATTAAAATAACATTCTGGAAAATACCGAATAAAATTGATAATTAATGTGAAAATAATATCTTCCTTAATTAATTATCTTTTCATATTACAATATTCATCAGCGTTTCTGGGCGTTTTATCCTTATCTTCAGGAGTTTCTTTCAGTATTAAAGCAATATAATAACTAGTTTAAATAAAAATGTATTGATTCATTATCCTCTTGATCTAATATAATTTCTTTAATGCTATATTTCAATATATTGTAAGTTATAATTGTCAAATATTAAAATCTCCATTGCACGTTTATACTTCACCATCAATAATTCATTACATTTATTCATCTTTTTCTTCTTCTTCTTAATCGTTTCTTCTTCTACCGCTGAGCAGTGTAACCGCAAAATTTTAAAGGATTTTTAAATTTTTGAGGGGGGCAAATTTTGACGGGTTATCAATTTTCGGACTAAGGGAAAGGAGAAAACATGGAACCACAGCAAGTGTAATTGTATATGATCTACGTTTTTACTAATTCTACCTTCGCTTGCTCTGTTTTTAAGAAAAAATAAGCAATAAAATATCTTAGGAGGAGCGGGGTGGTAGGTTCTTGCGCCATCGACCTTGGGGGGGATGGGCACCCCTGGTGTGAGGAGCCTTCTTGTAGAACCGAATCCACAACTCTCGATCCTGGGCCAACTGCCGCTTCCTTCTCCAGTCAATATCCCTTCTGTCAAAGGCCTCCTTGACACCGATCTCCCAAGCCTTCCCGGGCCTTCCCTGAGGTCTTTTTCTCTCAACTTTACTTCCCAACGCAATCCTAGCCACTCGGTTCTCTGGTATTCGAGAGACATGACCGAACCATCTCAAAAGATTTCCTCCTATCACAGTTTTTGGCTGGCCTTACGTTTAGTTTTTTCCTTATAGTGGAGTTCCTTGTGCGATCTCTCTTCGTTTTTCCTTCGACCTTGCGCAGGAATCACCATGGCCTGAATATGACTGATGTGATTTGTGGTGAAGGTCGATGGCTCGCTGGAGTAGGTCATTATCGAGAGGATTTATTATATTACTAAATCGAAAATCCTGATGCAGGAAAATTATTATCATAATGTTGAATCTGTTTTTTTATTTCCTATTTTTTTAAGTTGACGTAATGATTTTATTAAACGATACATTGCAGCCTGTAGAATATTCACTAGGACACCTGTGTCCATAACTATCAGATTCTATTTCTTATTAGATTAGTACATATCTGTCAAATACTCTTATAGATTGAGGACTGGCTTGTTTATGTTTATACCATACTTCTCCTCAGTTATTTTGTATAGCAATATATAAGACGATGAGTTTAGAAACATCATGCAGTTACTCAAATCAGAATGTAAGCAGCAGAGGTGGATGAAGTGAAATGATTATTTCCACAACAATATTATTGGAAACTTGTTTGATATAGTTTAAGGTCTCATCAAACTCAGAAGAAAAAATATACCTGAATTTTAAATGTTTGTTCATTTCTTGCCTCGATGAAGATTTAGATTACCAGACTGGAATTAATGAAGTTGACAGAGGATATAGAATACGATGTGTGATTATTAAATAACGAGACTGATGCTGTAAAACATTTTATTTTATTTATTTATTTTTTCCTATATTGGCCCAAGACTTCCATTGACGTCCTATGCTGCAACATTTTATTTTTATTTTATACATATTTACTATCACCTATAATATACAACCCTCCTCTATCCCGATAACACTCCATGCGAGTTTTCCATTGCCTGATACTGTTCTGGCAGTCTTCTTCTATCAGCTTATTCATGCTAGGTGCTTTCTCTTTCAGCAAGAACGTGAATGCAGTAATATTCATTAATAGTTTTACCTTTAGGAATCCAGTAAAGGTGCACGTTTAAGAGCAGGGGTTCCCATTCCCCCCAAGGTCGCTGGCGCAAGAACATGCCCCTCCCCCCTTCCTCCTCTCAAGATATTTTACTGCTCACCTTTTCTTAAAAACAGAACAAGCGAAGGTAAAATTAGAAAAATCGTTGATCATATACAATACACTTGTTGCGAAATGTTTAATGTTTTTCCCTTGTCTCTTAATCTGAAAATTCATAACCCCTTCGAAATTTGCCCTCCACAAAACTTTAAAAAACCGTCAAAATATGACCCCTCAAAAATTTTGATGGTGCAACTAGCCCATTAACATAAAAAAAACAATTATCATTGGTTTGAATTTTGATTTGCTCATTCAAACTTTTTTGACTCTCTATGAAGTTTGGCTCTTTCAGTGCATGGATTGGCACTTCGTTTCTGGATCTGTATTGAAATGAACAAGATTTGAATTCGTTGAAGTTGTGAAAGAGAAAGCGGTACTCGTCCTGAAGGAGCTGACAGTAGAAGACTTCCAACACTGTTTTAGAAGATCGAAGATTCGCATGGAGCGTTGTAAGAATAGAGGAGGGGTGTACATTGAAGGTGTTCATAAGTAAATATGTATTAATTAAAAAGTTTTACATTATCCCTCTCGTTATTTAATAGTCACAATTCGCATGTTTACTCGATGAATAATATTATAGAGGCGTCTTGGAGCTTCATATACTTCTGTATGAAATAAAACGATAACTTATGAAAACATTTATCATAATTTATGGACACCGGATATATGGTGAAGAATAATAAACAAATATAAAATTGGATGAATGCCTTGCTAATAATAGACAATTCATAAAAATAGGTGAACTTAACATATATTAAATGTCTGTTTTCACTCCTAAATCGAGCTCAAAAATTTAAAAATGAATGTTTGATCTCCATAAAAAAAATATCAAGACAAGTATTTGCAAACAAATTTGAAACAGATCGATTCATTCAATCATAAATTAAAAATGAGTCTACTTACAAAGGGCCATCGGCGATCATTGTATTGAGTTTGTTCATGTCCAAAACAAAAGTTGCGAGGTCAGGGTACTCATAGTTCAAAGGCTTATCTGCAGCAGCTGCTTCATTATTCTGATAGACTTGAAAAACTCCTAACTTACATTTTATGACATAGTTGGAAGGTGGTGGCGTTTCACATTCCCATGGATCACCTTCATTAGATGGAGCATGCACTGGATGATCTGTAATAGTTTAATACTCACTCAAACCATACAATAGAAAAACAAAGTAAATAGATTATGAATAAAAAAAAAAAACTGTAGACTACAACCCATAAAGGGTGTGAATTCAGTACTATTTAAGGAAAGTACCGTTTCTTAGTCAAAGATTGTGCAAGGAGGTGATTGGACTGATACCACGCTCAACTGCCAGGTTTCCTCCCCTAATTAAATATTTAATTAAGAGTACCCACTTTACAGAGGTTGGGTGTGCCCCAGGAGGTTCTCCTGATCTCAGGGTCACCCCACGGCTGATGAAACAGAATAAATAATTAATTTGCCATGAGCTGGGATTCGAACCCGTATATGTATTGTCATAAATATATTATGACAATAAATTTATTGTCATTATGCTATCTATATTATCAATAATGTTGACATTGGAGTGACAATCTGATAAATGCAGACATGCCAGTTGTAATATAATCAGTAGAGCACTTGTATTAGTAAAAATTTAATAAATAAACTATTTAATTTAAGTAGAAGAACTATTTAAGCCGAAGTGTATTAGAGTTATAGAATTATATGCGATAATTACCGCCCCATATGTCTGTCATCGGTAATATACAAAGTATACACTAGAATCCTGGAACAAAGATTAAGGAACTTGGTGGAAGAAGATCTGGAAGAGGTACAGGCAGGTTTTAGACCCGGCAGGCAGACACAATATCATATTTTCTCTCTGAGAATGATTGTAGAGAATTCATGGGATAGAGCTAAAGCAGTATATCTAGCCTTTCTAGATTTACGGGCGGCTTTCCACCATGTTCCTAGACAGTAAATATGGGATGCATTACAAGATAGGAGAATCCCGCAAAATCGTATTAGTGCAATTAAGTCAGTGAACCAAGACCCTAAGGGAGTAATAAGGATAGCCGGCACTGAGTCTAGGTCATTCCATTTCTTTATAGGAGTTAAACAGGGCGATAGCCTGAGCCCCCTACTGTTCATAATTTTCATGGATGTCATTTGCCATTTCATATAGGTACTTATTTCTTTATTTTTTCCGAAGTAATTATCGTAATATATAAAGAAAAAGAAAAACTTTCGGGCTGAAGGCCCCCCTCAAAAAAAAAATTAGGTCCTGGATCCGTTATTGGGTTCACGCAAGAAAAGCTATAGGAAAAGGAAAAAGAAAGGAGAATCGAAGCGAAGGATTCCCTCGTGACTAAGCCAGCTTGACTAGTTGGCGGAGTTGCACAGAGCCCAAAAAGAGGATCCAGAAGGTAAGATGAAAGCCCAAATATTAATAGGGCTACCATCATCCACTAGCGGGACCACGGAGGGTGGAGGAGGAGGTTTCGAACTGAAGCTGGAATTTTTTTTTTAATTGATTGATATTTGATTATGTGAGTGATTTAAGCTAAGTACTTAAACACAATATGTCCTCTTTTTAAATGATAATGCATATACATCTATTAAATGTATGAGCGTTTCAAGAAAAAATACAAGATATTTATTTCGAAAAGCATTATTATTCCTGCAATTATTTTTTTTATTTATTTATTTTTTTTTTTTGCTTAAGAAATTACAAGAACCATGAAAACACGATTTTGTACAGGTAGTTTTCTTTGCTTATTCTTCCATCGTAATTGCAGCAATTAAAACAAAAAAAAACTCCAGATTTAAATACTTAATCCACTACTACAATTCGCTAGCAGTATACAGGCCGTCAGCTCATTGTGGCAGGTGGGCCACTAGCATCAACCTAATGACATGACTAATCCAGCTGCCTTGTAAGGAATATCGTGAGATTGGGGCTTTAACAATGTTCATGAATCGCATATCATACTTTTAACTCATCCAACGAAACCACTAAAGAACGGTGACTCAAATATGAATTTTGGAACTAAAGTATCAAAATATTCCGTTAAGTCTCATTTACTTTTTTTCGCAAACTAACAATACTCAGCGCTAAACTTCCGGTTCTATCTTCGTTTGTTGTTTAGGAAATTTTCTTTTAAAAGAAAGACTGTCATTGAAAGCAATATAACAAACTGAAACATATTAAATATTTTACGATACATATACGAAAATAAAGTAATTAAATATTAAGCCCACAATGGCATGAATATCAATAAATTAAATGAATAATTTTTTTGACATCACCAGTGATAAAGATTATGTGTTGAGTCACCTTGAGACAATTTTACGACAAATGCGGTTTCTCATTCGAGATAAAACTTATTGGCGGATATAATTCTTTTTTAACCACAATTATTCTTTCAACGACAATCCCATTATCGCTTGTATCCCGAGATCCCAAAAACTGAATTCATCCTGTAAAAATATTGGGTTGGCAAATAAGTCCTTTCGGTTTTTCTGTTTATTTTTATAGTGACTATGGCACACTTCTTATCTGATGAATTAATCCCTAAGGTGGATTGTTTATCCTGTTTGTAATATGTCAACAACTATATCTGTTAACTCTTGTTGAAACTAGCTTAGTATTGTGTTTGCTATTGCACTGTGAATATGAAAGAAAATATCATTCATTATCGCCATATTTTGTTGTATTATTTTAAAAAAGGTAAGCGTGCTGCAGAAGTCCATAGAAAAATTTGCAGTGTTTATGGGGACGATCCCTTAACCGAACGCATAAAATGACATCAATAGGAACTTCGTAAACAAACTACAAATGGAGATAAAAAATAAAAACCTATAAGGAGTTTTTGTTAATTTATCCCTTATATAAGTAAAAAAAAAACATTCATACGTCTTTGAAGACCAATAATTCAGCTTCCCAACGGATATAGCAACATCGAATCCGGAGAACATCCTGAAGAGTTTTGATGAATGATCGGAAGGGTGTTGTGTTCCACCAAGACAAGGCTAGGTCCCACACCTCATTGGCCACTCGCAATAAGTTATTGAGCCTTGGATGGGACCTTTTGCCCCACCCTCCCTATTCACCAGACTTAGCTCTAAGTGACTAGCACATATTCCGGTCTCTGTAGAACTCGATTCATGGAAAGAAATTCCAAAAGGAAGAAGACATCAAAAACCACTTTGATCAGTTTTTTTAAAAATAAACTTCTATGAACATGGCATTATGCAGTGAAAGATGGGAAAAAGTCATATTAAATAATGGTAAATATATTGTAGATTAAAATAAATTCTATGTCTATAATACATTGAGCTTTATTTCACCTTTAAAAACCGAAAAGACTTATTTGCCAACCCAATATATACTAGAAGAATATGACTTTTAATTCTATTTCAGACAAAATATCAGTTTTTATGTCTGTTAGAATTAGGGATGGGAGGTGTCTCCCGCGGCCCTCCCCTGGATCCAATAATGGATCAAGATATAGTGGTATGAATAACCGAATGAACCTATTTATTATCTATTAGCCTATCCAATATCTGTTTTACTAGAATTTTGGCTATTATAATATTTGGTTGACAAAATTTATGAATGTTTTGTACAGGTTGAGTCGGAGGGGACTGACCACACTCCGTGGAGGAAATAATCAGAAAATAAAAAAAATCAGATGTTCATACGCGATTTTCATTCGTTTATGGTAAATTGGATGATTAAAAATAAGCAATATTCCAAACATGTATTAGCATTTCGGTTTTCAAAGTCTAAAGAAAATTTGTTTATTTGTAATTAAGTAATACAATGTGAAACGGATTAGAACATATGAGTTTTTAAAATTATTTTCCTGTATGTAACCCATTCCCGGCGTATGGCCCGTTCCTCACGACTCACTCTTTATATGTATATGTGTGTATCAGCTTATTGAAATCCAGTTTTTATAGAGAAAATTAAGCATATTTATAATGGTTACCTTCGATCGACATTTTATCATCATGCTCTACACAATTTGACATATAATCCTTCCTGTGAATTGAGCGTAGAAAACGAGATGTCAGCAATGGAAAAGTCTGATAAGATCTTGACATATATTCTTCCCTGATCCTTAAAGCTTCTACAAGCATTTTAGAAGCTCTCTCGAGATCCTCAATAGGAACCTTGATGAATAATTTCCATTAAATACTGATGGGTCACATATTTAAATGAATAATATTCAGATAACTAACATACCCCGCTAGTATCTTCTCCACTCACTGCAACCCTTTGATAATCAGGAATATAATCATGTTCTTCAATTTTAAGCTGCTTGTCAAAATCTAAATCTTTGGTAGACAAGTCAGGAGATGGTTCAAAGTGGCTGCGTTTGTCAAACCTGAAAAGATATATTTATATTCAATTCCACGACGCAGGCTTATGGTTTTTACAGTTAAAGGGTATGTTTTCCTTACAACAGGAAGCCACAGCCAATGTGGTTCACAGATTTTAAACATTTTTTTTATTTATGATGTTACATCGAATAGACACGTTTCCAGGCGTTCGCTCTAATAGATCTTAAAAGCTGAGAAATAAAATAAAAATCACATAACTACCTCGGACGGTAAAAATAATTTCAATATTGCACTCATTCCAGGTATAGCTAAATTGGACCGACCGAAGTAGCAATACGGGGTTAAAAATATTTTTTTAAGGTTTGCCTATGTTAGACCGTTCCATATTTTTTTAATATCACAAGAAAAGTGATAACTTCAACAGGACTCCATTGATACACTCGAAATTTTCGGGGATTTAGGGTCCTATAGAATACACGAAATAACACATACCTGAACACCTTTAACAAATTAGAACTAAAGATATAAAATAAAAACATCTGAATAATTTCTTTTTATATTTACTCGATTTAAAAAAAATAAATACAAGTTATTCATATGAGTCGGAAGAGTAGTAGTTCAACTTTCCAACGGTTGTTTAAACTTTGAATTTGTAGAAAACCCTAAGGTGTTAAGAATACTGGCCAGAAAAAAAAAATCCTCCAAGATAATAAAGTACTTAAGTTAATATTTATATAAAAATTTATAGTTAAGAATTCTAAAGTATAATTATAAACGTACTAGCTTTTTCATAGCGTACATTTACTTTTCTCTACCCTACTGGAAGCCTTCAAGGCTTACTTTACTGGAAACTTCTTTTGTTACATACTTTTTTAAAAAATTATAAAATGTTTTTTCTCAGCTCATAAAGGCAATTGGGCGATCGCCGGAACACGTTTCTAAATATTTTTCGATGTAGAATTACAAAAAAAAAAAAATGTTTTATCCTTTAACAGAAATATGTACGATAAACATAATTTAACATGCATAATGTTAATACACCTATGTCAAATTTTAACTTAAAATATCACAGTAAATGTAATTTATTTAAAAATTATTCGCATGAATAATAAGAATTGATGAGAATGTCAAAACAAGGTTTCATTGAAGCAACAGCATTTGTGTTCTCCTCAACGATATTCGAATCTCCAGAAAGATCTTCGGCTTACATACTTTATATATATATATATATATATATATATATATATATAATATATATATATATATATATATATATATATATATTAAAAAATAATTAACTCACTTGGATGCGATCTTTTTTTGACTTGCTAGTTTGTTTTCAATCTGCTCGATTGGAAACTGAGGTACCTCGTAAGGTGCCGATATTTCATTGGACAGTTCATGAATTCTATCCTCATTGCCTTGAAAAACGAGATGATTTCCATTTTGGAGATGATATGTAGGACTTTCGCTCCCTAAAAAAAAATACAAACATCAATCATGAAAATAAATTTAAAAAGGAAAACTATATAAATTAGAACTATATTAATTAGCACAGTTCAAGAGTAATGGAAAATGTGATATAAATTACTTTGTATAAATAAATAAGAAACATTTGGTGGCTACTAAAAGAGAAGGTAAAGAAATAACGTTATTGTTTACATTTGATTGAGAAAGGGTCACCTTTCTCTCAATATTTCAATACTTTTTTTTTCTAGGATACTGGTTAGTATCCAGGTCTAAGATCCATGTATTGAAACTGGCTTTATCATAGCATTGTACAACCTTAATTGAAGATTTCTTGACATGTTTCTGGATTCCAATACCTTTGAAAAGGAGAAGAAAGCTCTGTTAGAGCTTCTTATACGCTTGAATACATATTATCATGAGATAATATTATTTTATGTTATCGGCTGAATTAAGGTTAAGACAGCCAAATAGTAGAAACAAATAAAAATCGCTCAAAATTACCAACAAGTACCCCCCTTTACCCGTCCTCCCCTAGGTCCATTCTTCGACTCTGATTTTTGTGGTACTTGAAACAGTTGTTTTTTCCGAACGATTAACTTATATCGTTTTTTAAAATGACAGAAACGCCCATATTTATTGTATTTTATCTCATGGTGTTGATCTGATATTAAATACAATGTAATCATTCATCGATATAACGATTGAAGTCGAAATTTTTAGAGCTGTTTTCGAGGAATTTGTATACATGTGCAAATCAATGATATGTATTGATCCTTCCAACTATTCGATATTAGCGAAAATGTTGCTATAACATCGAACCATTAACCTAACTTTAACATATTAGGGAGACCGAAAAGTAATGTCGTTTCTGAGCATGACACTATTTGATAGTCATTTGGCTCATTGTATACATCGATGCCGCGGCAAAGGCATTCTAAGGTCATAGTGACTTCTTTAATTTCAAATAATTAAATTTTTGTTGTAATTTTTGGTGAAATGGCCAGCCAAATGGCAGAAGAGGTACATATCCGGCATTGCATGCTTTTTGAGTTTCGCAAGGGAAGTAACGCATCAGTTGCAACCAAAAACATTTGTGATGTTTATCCAAATGCATTAGACGTTCGTGAATGCCAAAGGTGGTTTATCAAGTTTAAATCCGGTAATCTTGATCTTTCCGACTGGTATCGACCAATGACATATTAAAGGTGGTGGTCGAAGCAAATCTGTGTTAAGCGATGGAGGTGTTGTTAAATAGTCTTAACCAATCTTGGTCGACCATCCAAAAACATTTGCAACAAATTGGGAAATTTGCCATATACAACTTATAGCTTCTACGACACAATACAGAAGCGTTTTTTGATCGCTTGATCACCGGAGAATAAAAAATGGTCCTGTATGCTAATCCAAAACACAAAAGGCAGTGGCTATCTCCGAAAGAATCACCATGAACTATTGCTAAGTCAGGTTTACATCCCAAAAAGGCCCATTTGTGTGTTTGGTGGAGTATTCGCGGTGTTGTTCATTTTGAAGTGTTGAAACCTGGACGAACTGTGAATGCAGAACTTTTCTGTGAACAATGGAATAGTGTAAATCAATGTTTAATTGGAAAGTGGCCAGCGATTATCAACAGAATAAGACGAACCTTGGAAAAAAATAATGAATGGGGGTGTGAGGTACTGCCTCATCCACCATACTCGCCCGATGTTGCACCATCGGATTTCTATTTGTTCGGATCGTTTCAACACTTTCTAAGTGGGAAAAGATTTGCAAATTTGAATGATGTCCAATTGGATCGTTTCACCAATACAGTCAGCGTCAACACAGAAATAAACTAAATTCCTCGTATACAGATCAAACAGCACTCATCTCTCATCAATAGTAAAAAAAAAAAAAACACATTTATTAGAGACAGTAGACATTACTCGTTGATATCATACACCTACTGAAATATTACAATACACCTCCTTTAATTATTATTGAAAAATCATTTTTTATTCAATTAATTTTTTTTTTCATTCTAATATATATTTTTCGGTTAGCGCTATATACCACCTATATATTTTATTGCGAGATGTGGCGTATACTGCTTGTGGGAGCACCGATAGTCTGGAGAGGGTCACCTTACCTCAGAGAATCTACTGACATCCTGGAAAAACATATCCCGGATTTAAATACACGGGGTAGGGTCATCAGTCCAACGTTCGATCGGTTTATCTCCATTAGGCTGACGAGCCTCATATACCAGGGGGAAAGGAATCTCGTTCAGAGTGGCTTTCCTTGGAGGACCGTCCAAGAACTTACAACCCTCATCCAAGTACTCACCACTCTTGACGTTGCCTATCTGATTACTTATTGCAAGCGCCTTATCCTTCTCGGCCTTGATGTGAAAAGGGCCTTACGCAGAGCTATTCCTAGGATCTACGGGGGGCTTTCAGGTTGAAGTCCCCTCTCCCCAAAAAAAGTAAAAATAATTTTTTTTTCATTGGTCCATATTTGGGTACGTTGAGCGATTTAAGCTAAATACTTAAATTCTCTTTTTAAATAACACTTCTTATACAACTACTAAATGTAAGCACGTAAGTAATGTAAGGACATTTTTTTTTATCTCCTTAAACATAATTGCATATAGTTTGTTTTTTTTCTTCCGAAGTGATTACCATTATAGAAAAATATATTTATAATTTTAAAAATTCCCAAAATTAAATTCTTGATCCGCTGCTTCCTAGAAAGTCATGTTAAATTTAAATATAGAAAATTTAAACAACTCACAAATATACTAAAAAAAAAAATAAGAAATACATCGAATATCATAAATAAATATTTATTTTACGCTTTAATATTTAATATTTAAAAGTTACAATTTTTGATGATATATGTTTTATTTGTAAATAAAATAATGAACTATATCTCAACATGTTAACTCTATTGCCTACTTTGCATTGAAACGTTTGGCAACAGCTGTAAAAAAAAAACGTAAACAAATAAACCTTGCCAACCTATTTTCAACTCACTTAGCGTTATTTGATTTCAAGCGTAAAATACGGTGTTGCAGATTTGAAGTGTTATGCCAGTTTCTCAGACAATAAGCACCACTGTTATGCAAAATCAATATAAACAGATAAGGTACGTCATTTTATTGTGCACAAAGAAATTGTAATTATGAAATTTTAAAATGCTTTTAATATGTTTCGTATTCTATATTCAATTTCCTTTTAGAAAACGATTTTCAATTAATGAAAACTAAATTTTGAAAGAAAAAAAAAAGTAATCATTTTAAAGTAAAATAATAATAATGAATTTCGAATTTTCTTTTGGCTTGAACTTATCACCATAGATAAAAAGCTACAATTTTGCCAATAGTTACCCGAAGGAACACCCTAGGAATTGTAATTTCTTATTGATCAACATTATCGGCAATTATGGGGATTTTAATTTTAAAAGCGATCGATCAAAAAATTGTCGAAATATTTTATTACTTATAAGATCAGCAAAGAGTTTACTAAAAAATAATACTGTGAAATTAATATTTAATTTTACATTAAAATCAATAAACACTTTCTTGTTAAACAAATACAAAATAGACATTTTTTGCTTAAACAAGGAATTAAAACAAGCGTTTTCTTAATAAACAAATGGAAACATGAGGTTCAAATGAAGTAATTGAAATAGTTGAATTGAAGGCGTCAACATTGTCTGGGGTGTTAATTTTGTAAAACGTGCTCAAGAGCAACTGAGAAATAAATTTAAAACATGAAAGGAAAAAAATCAGGAAATAAAATAAATTATTTACTAAAAATTATTCGGTACGAAGTTCCTACAAAAACAAAACAAAAAACATTGCGTATCTCGCATCTAAAAATGGTGAAATCGCAAGATGGTTATGAAAAAATATAGAACAAAGAGTATTGACAATTAGTAACAACAGCTTGAAAAAAAAAACAGTGCTGATAATTTCTAACAATTGCAATAATTAATAACACAAATGGATCTTATGATTCAACAACGAATTTTATTTTTTTCGATAATTAATTTAATTGGAAGGTGTATTCTTTACCAATTACACCGTCACTTAATAATTGACGGGTAATAAAAAAATCATCTATTGTTAACTTCACTGGCTAATAGTGTTTGTCGTTTAACACAATTAGCAATATTGTTTTCTTATTTTACATTAAAAAAAAACAAATCAATTGATATATAATAACTTAAAAATTCATGCAGAGCAAATTCAAAAAACATTAATATAAAAAAAAAATAATTATTTTTTTCTCGGCTCTTAGGGCGCATTGGCAAGAACCCTCACACAAGGTTCTAATATTTATCAACCTAGTACCACCAAAAAAAAAGTTCCTCTGAAATCGTTGGTCCCACGTCCGTAACCTCCCTTTGTTAGTTTGAGTGTCTTGCGATATAAATATTTTAACACAAGTATAATTTTTATCATAAATATTTACCACTGAAAAGCACAATATCAACACTAGTGAGGTTAACAATATATGATTTTTTGATTACCCTTTTCTTAATAAATATAGGGGTAGATCTTAATTCTTAAAAGAAACTTTCTTCTGATTTTCCACTTCTGCAGTATTGTTGTTTAAATATATTTGCCGCTTTAATAGTAACCTCATTTATAAGTTTTAAATTTCCAGTCCTCAAATTTTAGAGAAATCAATTATAAGTTGGATAGTCAAAAGATATTTTTATGAAATATGATAACCAAAAAATAATAGATATATAATAATTAATAAGATAAAACATATTGAGTTATAAATTTAGAATATTTGATTTTTTAGAAATTTAAATGACTGTATGGTCCATGACCGAGACAAATTTAAAGTCATATCAACTGGTCTGTTATCAGCTATTCATACTTTTCTAGCTTCTACAGGTTTTTTTATTATCTTTTCTTCACACATTTCAGCTAAACTAATTGTTATTACTGGGTATTAATACCTTATTGATAATAGAAACGTTATTGTTGGATTAAATGCAATTTTCGGATGTT